GTGTCAATGAATCAGTTTTGAAATCGAATATAAGATTTATATATTATTTAAGCTTAACTATTTCCGCATTGGATAATAGGTATAAAATGCTCAGTCTAACCGCAAAATATATGATATATGACATAACTAGACATGTAGAGCTAGAGTGTCAAATACTATGCGAAAGCTTCTTCAAAGATCTATATGTTTTTCAGTTGATAGTACTTCAAAATGTATTCTAAATACGTATTAATTTGCTATTTATTACGTTAATATATCTCTAGACAGAACATTAAGTACCTTTAAAGTAAATTATGTTCCAGTTTTTTATACCATTTTTAATTGCATTAAAGCAATTGAATCACATACATTTTCATTAATTTATAAATAAATTACTTAAATTGCTTATCTGTTTTGCTGCTTTAAAGTTAGTTCACGATTTACGTCTACAATAACAGCAACAAATTTCAGCATTTATTTATATTTTTTTTAACTCGTCATTCGTTTGTGTTTATTATACAAATTCTCTCAAACTGGGGGCTCGTCCGTTAGCTAAGCGTAATTATTACAGCAAATGAAAAACAAATGAAAAAAAAAAAAAAAACAAACAAACAAACGGCCAACACATTATAGCTAAGTGCAAACACAATTTGCGATTGCGAGCGTTAAAATTTAATTTTGGTAATTTGAGATTTTTCCACAGCGAAATAAAAAGTTGTTTTTATAAATATAAAGAACGAATCTATTATATATATATATATATATATATATATATATAAACTAATTAATGAATGGGCCATTGCCAATTTTATGGCACTACTCATGGTAACAAGTAACTAAATTTTATTGAATGAAACATGAAAACAAGCGAGGCAGAGGCCCAGAGAAGAGAGAGGAAGGGATAGACCAATATTGACCTTTAGATACCCTGTAGACAATACGAAGCCAACTTAATGAGCTTTTGTGTAATACATTTGATATGATAGTACTATGAAATGTGTCCGAAATACATGAAAGATTAAAAACATCTAACTCAATAGTGACGTCAACCAAAAGATACCCTGTAGTCGGTAAATATGTAATTATATTAAGTTCTTTAATGAAAATGTAGAATGACTTTGAATTAAACGTTCGATATATATTTAATTAAAATGTTTGCTAGCCTTAAGATACCCTGTAGATATTAAAGTATGATGTATCATTTACTTAAATATGCTTTGAATACATAAAAAAAAGGAAATAATATTAGTTGAAATGTGAGTTTTACTTTAAGATACCCTGTAACTAATTAAAACTTTCTCTATCAGCTTTTTGTTAAGCTTCTTAAGGAAAATGTCAAAATCTTAATATTTAGTGAAACATGTCATTTAAATAGAGAATCGGTATGAAAATACCCTGTAATTAGGGCCTTAGTAGCTACTGGTAAAAGCAACCCCTTTTCTAATCTGTTATTAAGATGATTTATAAATTTAAGACACATATTTTTGTCAAGTTGGTCCCGAGCTTTCTATCTGCTTATATTACAGGGTATATACAGACAAAGTAAATGCTGCATGTTAAAGCCAGACACGGGGGCCTGCCAGATGAATTCTATTTGCCAGCATTCCACATAAACAAAAACTCACATAGACTTGGCTTATCGGACAAGTCAGACTTGTGTACGCCGGAGCAGGGCCAGAGCCGTAGACCGAGAGACATCGACATAGACATCGGGATAGGTTCAAAGTCGGCATGCCTGTTGCATGTGCGGCACTTGAATTAATATTTATTTAATTCACTCATTAGATTTGATTAAATTAGACGATCAGTGACCGGAGGCAGTCTTGAACCTTTGGGTCGATTCGAGCTGAGTGCGACGTTTAATTACGACAAAAGTGTGCCACGCAGCGGAAATAACTAGCATGAAATTATGTAGAGCCGAGATTGCAGAGTGAAACAATTCGCTGACAGGTTTCTCGCTATCGATTCGCGTTGTAACCAATTGCAAAGTTCGCAAAACAAGAAAATGTAATTACTTTATAAAGTCGAGACAATAACGTGCTCAATTGCACAACAACTTCCAAGTTCCAAGAAACTAATTAATGTCAATTTAAAACAAAAAAAAACATTTTTTCCCCATTTCTCATGCAGCACAAAAACTCGAATCTACTTAATTAAGGCATATGGAAACAAATTATCGTAAAAGCAACAAAAAGTTTAAATAAAAGCGACTTTAAATGACAATTGTCTGGCAGCAATAACAATAACAGCAAAAAACGTGTTGTTTATAAGGGCATTAATAATACTGTAAAAAGATCTTCAATTTCAATGGAATTAGTCATGGCGTGAACTTAGCTAAATTTGATTAAATTGTTCATATGCATATATCTAAATATATATAGAAAATGTACTTTTTACTTGACTCGTTTGTTCTGCGACTGTTGCTAAGATCGAACCTTATCAGGGCTCGACAGTTTTGACATGTGTTAGTGGCACAAAGAACGTGGCATTTAATTTGCATTGAAAGCGGAACAGAACTTGTTTATAGCTAATTCTATTATTTTTAGAAAATAACAACTATTCATTGGTTCTCACTAGATCCAAATATTGTCAGATCTTTTCATAAACAATTTGTTTACTTTTGCTGGCTGAAATTTGAAATTGAATTAAAAAAATACTTGAAAATAATTATTAAATATATTATAGATGTTTTCATAAACAAATTCGTTTGCTGGCAAAAGCAAATCAAAAACAAAATATTTAAATATTATTATTATATATGTGATAATTTAAATATATAATTTTCATTGTTTTGCTTAGCCGCTGTCTCCATCTTGTCGGTTGCATACATATTATATACCTCGACTGGCCTTCGCTTATTAAAAATGCATTGGCAAAACTTAGTGCATGTATTGAGTCTTATATCTATGGGCATTACAATTATTATTATTATTGATTTGTTATTGCCTTCGAGCTGGCTCGCCAAGTGCAGGGACACGGAATAATCAAGTGTTTATGCTGCGCATTTCTGATTGAATCGCGTTTTGATTGACGTGGGCGGGCGTTAGCTGAATGCAAAGACAAACAAGCTGCATAAACTTGTTGTGTATATACTCTATTAGAGAGTACAATGAATATGTCATAAGATGACTTAAAGCTTATATACATATAATCTTGCTCTATATCCATAGACAATCTAATATAGCTAAGATATCTTATGCAAACTAAAAACTTAATATTCATTCATTTAAAATAACCTCAACCTATAATCAATATCTATATAATCAATATGAACTGGAAATAGATAATCTTTTGGAATAGCCTCTACATATAATCAAAATTTTGTATTCTTGCTTCTTGCTCAGTATAACAATGATAGCAATGTGTGGAGTAATTGATATTCTACTTTCAATTCACTCCGGTTGTTCATTGCGAACTGAAAAGAGTATTGAGAATTAGCATAATTAAATGCCATTCGCTTTTATTAATGATTCATTGAAGGACAATATGTTAATTGCGCCATCAACAACTCGTGTGACTTCAGGCGTGCAGCCGCCTTCCTGTCCCCTTTATCACCTCTGTTTTCACACCTGCCATTTAAGTTTATTTTTAGCCATGCTAATTGTCAAATTTTATAGTTGATTAGCACATTTCGCTTATCTAATGGGTTCGACTTATATCCAACTATCGGATCATGTGCGCCCATTAGCCATTGGCCACTGGCCATTGTCTGTGCTGCCCGTACAGCCTCCCATCCCCGCTCTGTCTGGCTGCTGACTTGACAAAGTGTTAAATAGCTAAGCTCAAACGAGAAACGCTGATTTGGCTATTAGCATTTTATTATTATGGTATTATTTACTTCGTTTCTTTTTTCGTTTTTTTCTGACGCGCAATTTGATGACAAATTGAAACAACAAAAACTTTAATTGCAACGCCGCACACTGGTGTCGAAGTACGACTCTTAGTTGATGGTTATTGTTGTGTTCTACTGGCAATGGGCGCCATTGCGGCACTGACATTATTGTAAAACTTGAGTGGCCAACCCAACCCAGCCAGAAAATGGAGCAAATTACGAATGTGCTCAGCAGGCGTGACTCTGACAATTTGTTTGCATAGTTGCTGGTATTTATGACAAATCCTCGAAATGTCACAACAATGGCGTCATAAGGGCCAGCTCAATGACAACAACAACAAAAACAAACACAAGCCACAAAACAGGCTTCATGATGATGTTATACGGTTGACTATGACAACGCCCAAGCTAATTAAATATATTTGATGATGGCATAGCTAATATTTAATATTTATCAAGGATTGATGCACGCAGCGGTTGAGCTCATAATCAGAACTTGACAGCCAAATAAATTTATTTTACCCAAATTACAAAATTCGAATCCCAAATCCTTAAGCTGTCTTTAAAAAGAATTCAATAACTGCTTGTTGAACTGCTTGCTGAAATGAACTGCTTGCAAGTGATTTAGACCTAACTGGAGTTCTATCAGCTTCGATTTATGCCTTCAATTAGCAATAAAAATTATAGTAAACAAAAAACCATAAATTGTGCGAAGTATTTTATGCTTATATTTTTAAAGCGAAACATTTTACTATAGAAAAGTTTATAACAATTTAACATTTCTAATTATTTGGCACGCAAACAAACTAATTTAAAATCTAGTTTCGAAATTAGAAACGGAAATTGACCACAAAAGCGGACTCTGAATTAATCTAAACGCACTTTGAATGCCCTTTGAAAGATAGTTCGATTTGTGTTTATTCAAGCGCAACACTCAATTGATTTGTAACCTCAATTGAACTTGTTCCATTTGACACCAATCGAGAACTGCCAGCAGTCCATATATATATGTTTATATATATTGAATGAGGGCCTGTCCCCTACTCAATCAATTTGTTTATAACTGAATTTTCAATGCGTGTTATTTATTGTTTCAATTGAAAATAGTTTTTTTCTTCTGTTTTATCAGAAAAGGGGCTCGACTTATAGTTATAGGGGTATGGTCAAATAAATTGTTAATTGTACTTACTTTGTACTCTGTGCAGACCTCGTTTCTCTGTGTTCGACATGGCGCTAGCGTGAGCTATATATAACGAACGAAAGAGAGAAAATGAATTTTTAATTGAAAGATGGTTTATATAGATGATAGATGGGTATGAGGAGTATCATGTGATATGCAAGTGCGTGATATGAGGACAAGTCGATAAATGTTATTACTTATGGTCTTCAGAATAATGAAAAGTTTTTTCCCCAATAATCATATAGTATTATATCTTATCTTATCTTTAGTTATGTCTCCTCACATTGTCTCGTGCATGCAAGCCAAGAAACGAAAACGTGCGCATTTTTCATGAATGATATGATAGAGATAATATGGGTCTTCAGTGCAACTCGCTCAGCAAGCCCGATGGTGATAAGAAGTGGCACAAAGAAGGTGCGCTTGCACATGACTCAGTGTCAAAATGAAATTTATAGATAAAATGGAAGCACATGACCAGCGGAGATAGTGCAAGGCGGCTTCGCTCATTCATAAAACTAGTGCTAAGATATGCCGGACCACAACCCGGGTCTAGAGTCTAACAGTTAGAACTGCTTATCATGAATGGAATGTCTACCTGCCTATAAAATTAAAATCAAATCCGACTATAAAACCATTAATATAATTGCTATCTCCGCAAATTTTACTGACGCCACTGATAAATCACACCTGCAGACATTACAGGTGCAGTAGATATTGCTAAATTATTATATAAACTCACATATTTGGAAAAAAGATATATATGTAGATTTTTAAAAAGTCGGAATCTGATAGAGTTAACTATAATATAGTACTTTAAAATTCAATTTAAATTAAGTTAAATATAGTTTGAAATTAATTTATATGATTAAATAAAAACTAATCTAAAAATATATATGTATTTAAAAATTTATAAATATTAATATATCAAAATAATTTTTTTTTAATATATATAAACAATTTTAGAATATAAATATATATTGTTTTAATATAGAAATAAATATAAAATTTGAATTGCAAATATAATTATAAATAAAAAAGTTTTCAACTAAATATATTTAAAAAGCTTATCTTTAAAATTAACATATATATAAAATAAAAAAAAATAGTAATAATCTAAAAAATTTAACTTAAATTATTAATTTAACACAGCACTTTTTCGCTCAGTGCACATGTATGCAAATAATGTATGGCACATGTTCGACGGCAGACTGCATAGTAATCAGTGTCAAGTTCTAAGCCCTAGCAACCAGACCGACCCAACCAATCCTGCCCATTTAATCAACATATGCAATATCAAAGCAACAGGAATATATTAAAAAAAAGCACACACAAGTTAAGTAAATTTGAATAGAGTGCAAATATTTGGCAACTAGCCCTTATCCAAATTACCCATGTGTTAGGGTTGATACAGAACCCCTATATACTAAATATCTATATGTGATTGTAACTAACTGTCTGTGTTGTTGTCCCTCTTTATCATGATTCAAGTCCTCTGCGTGTTGCCATGTTATTAGCCGCATAAAAAGTGGCGTCTCTCATATAATTAAATATATATATACATATATATGTTTGTGCAATTGTATGAGTTGGGCATTGGCTATATACGACATATGTCTGTGTATCTATATAAGACGATTGAGGCATGCCCCACTTGCTCATTGCTCAATCGTACGTCATTTGCTGACTAACCAGACTCAGTGTTCTCATCTATATCTATAACTACCTATATATGTATATATAATTTCTTAAGTATTTTAGTGTAATTTATCGCTCTTGTAACTGTTTGTTTTTGTTTAATAGCTAATCACAATTTGAGTAAAAATATTTACTTTATTTATTTTTTTCTTGATAACATCTTAGCCCTGCGAGTTGCACTTTCAAAGGAAAATATTTTTATTATAATTGGCTTTCTGCAAACTTTATCTTATCTTAAATACTTTAATATTTCATTATGCATTTCTGAGTCTGTTAGCAACATTTGTTGTTATTCGTGAAAAGTACAACATTTTCAAATAGCAAAATGATTTTATAATGTAAAATTAAAACTGCAAATTGTATATAATGTTATTATTGTAAATGTTACACTTCTTTTGCAATTCTTTCATTTTATTTGTAATTTTGTCTAACATCTTATTTTTAGATTATTTTTTAAATATTTCCTACTTCTTTTACTCTTAAAATTCTTTTAAAATTACCTTTTATTAATTTTAATAATTTTTCTTAACTTTGATAATACAAAATATTAAATTTCTTTCTCACAAAAGAAATGTACTTCAACAATAAAAATTGTACAAATAAATTATTTCACAATAATATTTAGCTTTAAAATATTAACTTTAAACTAAACTTCAAAAAAGATTAGTTTTGTAGGTGAATGCTCCTAAATGAAAATTGCGCATACAATTTTTTTCCTGATAATCAAGAGATGTTGTTATACCCATTTTTGTTACACGGCACTCACCTTGAACTTAAAGATGACTAAAACGTATTTAATTTACAGTAAATGATGTAATTAACACAGCACGCTCCGATTAACAATTTACACAATGTTTTTACTAGTAATTTCCAGATATTAAACAAAGCGTAAAACAAAACGCGCGTCAAACAAAATGCACGCGCGTTTATTGTGATTGTTTTTTTTTTTTTGCGTTCGTGAATGATTACAAGAAAAGGATTTGTTTTTGTATTTAGATGTCACTGTCACACAAACACATATGCACGGCTATTCATACGTACTACACACTAATACACGCGTACACACTCTCAAACACACGCACTGCACTAATTAAATGTACATAACAGTAGTTTTAGCTGTTTTTTCTGTCTCCACTTTTCGTCTCTTCTTTGACTTTAGTTTTTGAGTGTCTTTGCTTTATTTTGAAAATTTACTGCGGCAGCTGTTTGTATTATTTTAAAAGCACTTTGAGCGCAGCGCATGCGCAGGCAAAAATTGTATATTTTAGCTATATTTCTAGAATTTCTAGAGTTAAGCAAAAAAATATATTTCAAACAGTTGGCGGCTGTGAGTTGCGCCTCTGGCTCTTTGCCTTTCTGCCTGCCTGCTTATTCTATTTATTTATTTCTGCTTGCCGCTGCTCGTCGTTGCCTGCGCCTTCTGCTAGCTGCTTGACACTCCGATTGTTGGAACTGAACTGAAAATGTTGCCTGCGCGACAGCCGCTTTTTCTTTGCTCCGAGCATGCGACGCGCCAGCGCTGTTGACGTCGGCGCTGGCGCTGACGCAGACGCTGACGCTCACAGCATTGGCGTTCGATTCAATGGGTCCGTTTTTACAATGGATCGCGTATGAGTGTGTAGTGGTGTGGCTTGTGCTGTCGCCACCACTGCTGCTGCTTCTGCTGCTGTTGTAGTTGTAGTTGTAGATGTTGTCGACGTTGTGGGATGCAAAATTCAAATTTTTCGTGCTGTTTGTTTTATTTTTGTGCTGTACCTTTCGGTTGCCCTGAATGCCAAACGGGAAACAGCGGGTATGATAGGTTTGTGTCATTGCTAAGCGATTGGTAAGATTGATAGTAATATTTTGTGATTATGTTTTAAACAATGAAAAGGATGTGATTACACTTATGTATATTTATCAAAAATCAGATATTTATCTAAGTAACAGGGCATGGCATAACACTAAAATTGAAAGAAAGTCTAATAAAGCGATCTCTAGCTGACAAAGCCAGGGTATCAAGCAGTCGTTGAATCCTCGACTATTTTTGTGTGCTTTCCAACCTACATAGACGGGGACACGTGTACAGCGTCAGCGATATCAATTTGAGCTGTAATCAACAATTATCCAGATACAATCGATGCAATTTAAATCGATTCCAAATAAAAAAAAAATTACTGTAGATTTTAGGGAAGGAACTTCCGCATACTATATTGAAAACTGCAAGCGAATGCAGTTAAATGTTGTGTGTGGGTGGTGTGTTGTTTGTTATATGGAGAATCGGAACCAACGTTCGATGAGACTGTCCCGCGTTCCCGTGCTGGTTGACTCGTCATATATGGGTGAAAACTTCTCGGGAAAGTTTTGCCGCAGGCACATCAGAACCGTGTCGGTCAGATAGAACCGGGATAACCAGCGGCACTCGCAGGGCGGTATGCATTGCTTGCAGAAACTCTCGGTGTCCATCCAGCTAGCTTTCGAGCTCCTGATTGACGCGGGGCCGCGTATGCAGCTGAGGCGCCACGGCCAACGAACATGTGCTGCATCCCAAAGGCATTCGCAGGGCGGTATACAAACATTGCATATATATTCCTCCATTGATACCACCTTGCTGGCAAACTTCGCACTAGACGACACCTTTGCCAGAACGGACCGCTTGTTAGCCAATTTCTTATATTTGCGCTCTCGCTCCCGTTTCAGCCACAGCATCAGCAAAGTCCAATGATCCAGATTGAGTTCCCGCTCGCCTATAAGTTGCATGCGCCGAAACAGATCCGATCGATGCACGGCATCATAGTGGACGCCCGTCTGGGTGTGCCACAGCATATACAGCTCGTTGGGGTGCTCATCCGGCAACGAAATCCTGCCCGAGTATTTCGCCAGCTGCAAATGGAAGAGCATCCGTATGCCATACGTAATATGCTTAATGTGCTTAAAGTCCTTGATATTCATCGCCGACAATGCAGCGGCGTCTATCAGCAGCAGCTTCCTGCCCGAGACCATGTTCACCTGGAAAGCTTTCTATTGAGAGGATAAAACACAAGCGCTTCTGCTAAGTGAACTAGATTGAGTAGATCATTTCGATAAGTGTGCTCTAGTCGGCAGTATCCGACTAGGAGATACCCGTCAGTTTACCTAGCATGAGCTAAGCTCTTCTCGCATCTAAAATGATAAGCCCGTACAGGACTAAGTATCGTAGATTGTAAGTCTCCAGCTGTTAAACTCACCACATACTGCGGATAGCCATAGCTGCGAATCCACTGCGTGACCTCAGCGTTGGTCCAATCGAAGACCGAAGACAAGGGCAGTTTATCCACAGCATTCACAGCTTGTTCAGTTAGGGATGCGGGTTGAACGCAAAAGACAATTGGAAGGGCATCATGATCGAAAGGACAACGTGAGTCTGTTATGGCGTTGGGCTTATATTTGTGTTCCGTACTTAATGACGAGAGTTCCCTCCGCCGTCTATTCTCTCCAGTCAGATATTTGGTATCCGACACACCATAAAGGTAGCGCATTTTTAATGCTGTTTGTGTGGTTGTGTGTGTGTTTTAACGTATTAACAGAACAACACTTTCTTAATAACTGAAAGTGTTCGACAACAAAATTGATACAACTAACATGTTAAAGTTACCTAAGTACCAGTTTACTAAAATTTCGAAAGATTTTTGAAATAGTTGGGATAGCCTTACATGATTGGAGCTTAAAGGCAGACTAATTTATTTTCTAAATTCTTCTATATATACTTTTATAGCTCGCCACTCAATCATCGATCTTGTTCAATTTCGCAATTGAATTTTCAAATACGCAGTTTCGGAATACTGAAGCAAAACCGCTTCAAACTAGTGAATTCTGAGCTGAGCCAGGTATCTGAGTACAGTTCGGTTTAGTTCACAGCCAGGTCATATTCCCAGGCTAAGACCCTCTGTAATACTGTTCGAAAACATCTGCTCAGTTGTGACTGACTGCATAATAGAAGACTCAGACTATTGGCCAGGTAGTCTGGCGATCAGTTTGAATTGTTTTTTCGTTTGTTTTTGCAGTTCCGATCTTAACGGTAAGTGCGCTCACTGGCCCTGATTGGTTGTCAAAACATGGTCAAGGGCATCGTCTTCCACAAACCCGCTTGTTGTTTTCGATACTCTACCTAAGGTTATTATATATTTGATATCAAGTATGTTGTCTATACTATATACATTGTTCTTTATGTTATATGATACCAACTTTGCTTTAGCTATTTATCTACTTAATCTTCTATGCGTACTAAGTCTAAAGTTCTTTAAGAACTAGACTTAGATACATTACTTTTCGCTTTAGCTATTACATCTATTGAATTTGACTAGATTAATGCTATCCATACATTTAACTGTCTATGTGAACTAAGAGTGCTGCGACGTTATATAACTAAAACTTGGCTTAAATATATTTATGTTATAGTAGTAATTATATATATTGAATTCAACTAAATTGATGCGCTATATCATATAGCTGACATAAATATAAAAACTTTAAAACTGAGTTTTTTTTTTTATTTTTTGCTGTCTTTTTCTCATATCATTTACATAGCTTGGAATTGATTTTATTATATGTTAAGATCTGTTTTATAATTATGAACTTTTTCTATGTTATTTAATTTGTTCTTGAAGCGAATTCAATTTTCGACCTGTGAATTTTTCCGGTTGTTTCATTTGTATTTGAGGCATTCGCTGTTTGTTTTATCTGCGAGCTGTCGGACTTTGAAATGAAATCGCTTTGGGGCAACTGCCTCGGTGAATCACCAGCGAAGACAACAACAACAATCCCGCCCGTGGCTCGCTCCCCTGCGACTCACGTGACGTTCAACTTGCGGGGTATTTTTATTTTTATTTTTTGTTTAAAAACACGTTTTTATTTGCATATTTATTTATTGTTTTATTTGCCTTTCAGACTCTTTCGTGCTTTAATAAAGCACTTCAGTTCAAGAAATTTGTTGTTGTCTGCTCATTAACATGCGGCTGTAAATTATTTGCAACAGTTTCACCTGAAATTCAAGCTAAAATAACAAGCAAAATAACAAATTTGTCAATGTTAAAACTATTATTGCAAGAGTTAAGAAGTTAGCACATATCTTAATTAGGAAATTCCAATAGCAATTAGCTTTAGGGGTGGCCCACCACCATCTTTTATCAGTTTGACTTATAAATTACATGAATCATGCTGCATGCCAAAACTAACAGCAGACGGCGGCTCCATAATTAACAGTCGCAGTCGCTGTCGCAGTCGCCGTTGCAGTAGCAGACGCCGTCGCCGCTGGCGTCTCAGCTCCATTTCGAGACAGCGCAAATAATTATGGCACATAACTACAGTTTCTAAATATAGAGCTGTACGACAAACAGGCAGCACTCGCATTGTTCTACGCAATTCTTAAGATTATATATTTTTATAAATTTGAAGTTCGCTTAAAATGTGAATAGTTAACTCAAAATGGAAATTAATTAACTTATAATATTATTTATTATAATATTACGAAAATAAAACTGTTAGTTTTCAGCTAGCATAAATTGAACAAAATTTATTTAAACATGTGATATGGATGGAGTTTGAACCCTTAGCCACATGATTTTTACCCAATGCCGCTCTACGCAAACGCCTCTAGAACTCTAATTCATATACTCATATGCTATTTACAACTAATGCAGTACATATTAACGAATGTCCACTGTACTTAACTACCAAGTAGACTAGAATGCCGCAACAAAACAAAAACAACAACAATCACAACAGCATCAACTACAAATGCATTTCACTTTCATTTTAAAAAGGGGCTTGTAAGCGCTTTTGATAGTCGCTTGGATGGATATGGACATGGGACTTGGGACGGTTTTAACTATAGAGAACAGCGACAGCGACGCCAGCATCAAAAATGAAAATGATATGTCCATGTATGGGGGGCAGCAACAAGCGGCAGCAACAATAAATTAAGATTCTATTTTTGTAGCTAACTTGAATTACAGCGATGCGACGCCGGCTGCCGCTGGTCAACTGGCCAACTGGCCATGCAACAAGTTAGACCTAAAATAGAAGTGAAGAGGACACATGCGGAATCTCAATCTGTGTACCACGCACACACACGCACACACGGACACACGCATATGCACGCATGCATGCATATGCATGCACATGAACATGAAAATTAAAAATGCAAATAAATTGTTAACGTTAAAAGCGCAAAATTCCACACGCACATGTGTGCGTGTGCGTTGCTGTGCTTGCTCAACGGCCAACAGTAACAGCAAGAGCGATGCTGACGCTGACGCCGCAGCAACGTTCGCTACTTGAGGAGGCCACTTTAGTCACGATTTCCCATTGTTTGGTCAACATGAAGCTAACTGAGCAGTCGCAGCGCAGCACTGTCAAGCGACGAGCCTCCTGCGCTGCGCACAGTCAAGTGGCCATCATCATCAAGCTCATGTGTACGTGTGTGTGGAGTTGGCACATTTCTTGTTGTCTCTTTTGTGGTCATACTCAAACTGAAACTGTTTTTCGGCAGCAAAGCTTTTGCCTAGGCAGACAGAGATGTAGCGACGCGTACAGAACTTCAACTTTGTGTCTTCTCTCTTTTGTGCGGACTGCGCAGTCGCAGCACTGGCATGAGACGAGCCTCCTTCGTGGAGCATGTCAAGTGACCAAGCGCATGTGTGTGTGTGAAATGGTGGTCTCTTGTGAAATACACTCAAGGGGAAAAATTAGGTAAGCTGTGTGTTATAAAGCTTTTATTTAAAAGCAGAGAGGAAGAGAGAGGCGATATAACTACTGCTTGTTTTCGCTTTAGCTGTTTTCTGGATGTATTGAATCAGCAGAAGGTGCACCGGGTACCTTGATTACACGTTTAAACAGTTTATTTGATGAGGCCAAATGCAATTTCTGTTTTATCTTGCACTGCAATGCCGTTCGCACACGTTTGCTGCTCTATCCTTATGCTTTTCTTTATGATTATTGCGCCTGGCAATGCGCTGGATCTGCTGTGTACACTTAAGAAAAAATGTTAATTCAGCTCTTAGCAACAAAGCTTAAGCTGGTCAAGCACTGAGACACTGAGAGGTGGCGACGGCGAGGGTGTCTTGATTACACGTTTGGACACTTTAATTTCTTTCAGCCACGTTTTATGGAACTCTTATGATTATTGCTGCTAGCTCGTTCCGCTTAATTAAGGCAAAGTTCAGGCCTTAATTGTTTGGGCATCTTTATGAGATATTAATGTTATATTGGATAGAAGAAACAGGTCAACAAATTAAAAAAAATTTATAAATTAAAATTATATTTAATTATACTCTACTCGGGTTCTTCTTTGTGTCGAACCTATTTAACGATTGTCTCATTGAGTTGACCTCATCTTGGAAGCAAAATATTATTAAAATTAATATTTTTATTTGTTATTTTTCCCTTAAATTGTTTTTCTTCGATTAAGCGACTGCTTATTATTCTTTTTTAAGTGGCCCAGACGCAAATATAATTTTATATTAATAATAATAATTACCGTGCAATTATTGAATATATTTATACGAGGTCTGCTTAAAAAGTAAAGTCTTTTTGCCTATTCCAATAAATATAGCAAAGAATCTCTATAAGAGTTTTCCGAGGATTAGAAAAACACATATTCCTGAACTAATAAGTAATATTTGAAAAAATACTATATTCTACATACTATTTGAACAGACCTCTTATATATATATTTTTATTTTTTTTTTGTTCCAGTACAAATAAGAATTTTCTATTACTTTTTTGCGGAATTTATATATATAAGTTTTAAGTATATATCTTATTTTTTTTTTTAGCAAATTCTTTATATATTTCATTCAAGCACATATCATTTTATCTGACAAATATATATAGCTTACATGGGCTATGTTTTGTCTATTTTAGTTAAGTCTGAAAGACGCGCGACTTTCGCGCACTTTTTTCTATTTTTTTCGTCGCTTTGTTTTGCGTCAATAGCAACAGTCGGGCCCCCTAATGGGGCCTATCTAGTATATAAATAATATACATATACATACATATATGTATGTGTATATGTATGTACGTATATTTGAATATTTATTTCACAATTTCAATAGACGCCAAGTGTTTTCAGTTGTTGTTGCCTGTTGCCAACGTCAAAAGAAAAATAAGAAATAAAAAGTATATAAATACCAATAAGTCATATATAAACTGAACAACAGGGGAGACAAAAAATGAAAGAAATGGAAGAAGAAATCCAAGCACGAGCCACATTTAAAATCCATCCATAATATTCGCAGTTCGAGCGTCTGCTGATTGCTGAGAGTTCAATTTTGATTGATGTCTTGTTACAAAATAAAATTAACAAAATACACACATTCATACATACATGCATACATGTGCATATGCCACAACAAAGAACAGCAACGAACGTCATATAGAAAGATTAACTATAGTCGAATGGCCAAATACCCTTTTGGCACATAGCTAATTAAAGGGAAGGGAGAAGAGCTGATATATGTATTATTGAGAAATTTCAAGAAGCAAATGAGAATTTCAGAATTTATAAATCTAGCATTTGAGTAGCTCCACAAAGATAATGCTAGTTTTTTTTATGATATATCTCGATGCTAATTAGCTTATCCTAAGAAGCTTAAATATTAAATAGTAATTTATATTACAAATTTCAAGTATCTGGCCTCAGCAGCAGAATTGCAGCAGGACACACATTAGACGAAACCTATATACCTTATTCAGCTTGCTGAACGGGTATACAAATTCAAATTTCAGCTTGAAAGCAAATGGGTTGGTTTGTTATTCCAAATAAATAATTAAAAAATCTCGAAGATTTCCTTAAAGTATTTAAATAATTTCCTTTTTTAAATTTAATTTATATAAACCGACTTTAAACATTTATTCTATTTCATTTTCTTGCCTCACTTTTTTTCCAAAAAGTTCTTAGCAAAAAAAAAAAATTAAGCTTGATTTGAATGACTTCTTAACACTTTATAAAATAAAAATTTAATTTTATTTAAATAAAAATAAAATAAAAATATATGTGTATACCTCTATATTGCCTCATTAATATATTACCAAGCCGCTTTCAATCTCTTATCTAACTTAATATTAAACATTTATCAAATTACAAATTTAAAATTAATAGAAAAAACATTAATAAATATATAAAACAAAATATATTTTTTACTATATGTTAACTGTACAACTCATATTACTAAACACATCGCAATGGTTATTTAATATACTAATCTGATTCACGAGCTTCCCACAGAATCTGTAATAAAATATATTTACTCAAGACTATTATATTACATCAAAAGTGAATAACATTTAATACATTTCGACTGACAAATCAGGAAAATCAATGTATGTATATATATATTTATATGTCTAATTTGCTTTATAGTTGACTGAACATCGGGCTAATTACGTCTTTATAAAGGGTATGCCAAGCGCATATGGAGCATTTCCACTCGAACTGCACTCAGCAAAGATTCCAGATTTGTTTATTCAATGTCTGTATATATACCATATAGTACCTATATATATATGTAGTGATTGCTGACGTATAAAGCGCTCTATTTATTATACTAAAGTCCAGCTTATTTCTACGTGGCTTTACGTCGAGACGCAAACAAATTAAATAAATATAAATAGGAATAGGAATGCTCCAGAGGAATGCTTCACTCTGCTCTGAGATGATCTATCAGAAAATTGGGTATGCGGTAAGATTGGAGTAAGCCCAATTTTCTAGTGGTCTTCGAAGTCAAATATAGATATTCTAACTGTATAATCTGAATAAAATTTATGAAATATATTTTAGAATATATTCGAAATATTTTCGTAAGATTATCGAATATTTCTTGCTTTAAAACAAAGTTTAAAAAATTAGTATAAAATATTTATTAGGTTTTTTGAGTTCTTAAAATAGTTTTTACCATATATATGTTTTCATGTTTTTTCGAACTTCGTCTGCAGCTTGAACTTGTACTCCTGGACTATGGAAACTAGGAAAACAATATTGTTAAAATATTTGGCAAAATTTTTGAAGACTTCAAAACTCTTTTTATGAAACAGTTAACAATTCTTTCTTCAGATGTCAGATTTTGTATTATTTTTAATTACGACTTTTTCATCAAGATATTTCCCAAATTTCCCAAAATATAAAATATATCAACCTAGGCACCGTCTCAATATGCCCACTTAGCCAACGTTTGCAGAGTATAAAAACTGCTGATCGTCACGTTGCATGCGGCAAACCGCAGTTCGTTGCTGATGCCGTTGCTGTTGCGGCTGCGGCTGCTGCTGATCCAATCGAATGCAATTCGAATGCGCATGGAAATGATTTAATCAATTGAATGATTTTTGCCTCGCAGAGAAATCGCTCAATTAATGGCAAAATGCGCAGCTCAACTGAGTTCAATTGCTCGCTAAAGGCGTGTGGCAAAAGGAGGGGGCGTGGCTGTGCAGCAACTAGCCCGGATGTGGGTGTGCCGCGTGTGCCACTCGCCACAAAGAGTTTAACATTTTTGCATTAATTGATTAATAACAATTTGCATTCAAGTTCAAAGCTATCAAGACAAAGTAAACAAATGTACCCTATATATATATATATATATATATATATATATATATATATATATATATACAAATATATATGGTAATTCTCATGTCTGTAAAACTATGTTTAATATGACCTTGAAGCGACAGAGTTCGAATGTCTGAACTTAAAAACTTAAAAGATATTTTACTATTGCTTAACGAAATTAACAACTTAAGATAATTTCTAGATCCCAGTTCGAGCTGCAAAACTAATCAAATATTTGAGTTATCTTAATAGTTGCATGAATTTTATAAATTCAATCTAAGTACAAACGCGCATTAAACATTTTAAGCACATTTGGCAGTGTTCTTGGTGTCGTTGTTTAGCTTCGTTTCGCTTTGGTCAGCCTGCTCCTCCACTTCCTCCTCCTGCTGTTCAGCCTCTTCACTGCGCACTTGCCGCTCTAGCTGTGATTTCTCCCAGGCCAGCTCGAAGGGATATTCGAGCGGCTTTAGCTCATCGGGGCATTCGGTTTGATTGGGCACCGTTGCCTGATTGATGGAGGCGCCACGCGTATGAATGCGCTCCAGCATGGCTGCATTATGCGTTTCCGCATTCAGCGAGGTGATGAACTCGAACAGCTGCTCCTTGGTGTAGATGTTGGGCAGGCCGCGACGTTCGAAAAAGTTCACAATATTGCCACAGTCGCGCATCAGAAACTCCAGGCCGCTGGGATGCTCGGGCTCCACGCTCTGGGCCACGTCTATGAACCAGCATTTGCCCTCATACCAGAGTATATTGTATTCACTGAGATCGGCATGCACCAGCTTCGCCTCATTGTATAACTTGTGCATTGCAGCAACGATTTCCTCGTAGGCACAGCTCAACTCAGCAGCGCTCAAATGCGCATCCTTCAGCTTGGGCGCGGCATTGTGATTGTCGCCAATGAAGCGCATGACCAGAACATGTTTCTTCAGCACCACCACATCGGGCACATTCAGGCCAATGCTCTGCATGCGCATCAGATTGTGCATCTCCTTCTCCGCCCACATGTTGATGATGACGCGATGATTCTGTTTACTGAAACGATCCTTGAACCGATAATCATCCTTGATATACCGGTCCCGTTGCTTGAACTCATTCAGCGTTGTCTTGAACACCTTGATAGCGCACTCCTTGGGCAGAAGTTCGGCTGGCATCAGCACACCATTGCCATGACCGTGCTCGTTGGTGCCCGTGTAGCTGGCATCGGAGTTGGCGTGCAAAATAACTGCCTCCTTGCCTGTGGATATGATGCCATTGATTTGCTCCAATATTTGATTGTTAATCAACTTGTAGAGCAGCAGACGCGTGGCAGCATCCACGCCCATTTCAGCTGTGGCGACTTTTTCCTTGCGATCCGCGCGACCGCGTCGAGAGTAAGCTTTCAGCTGATTGAAGACCTGTCGATAGAGTTCGATTAAATACAATCATAATTATATTCAAGTATATCTACTTTATTGGATAACTTCATGTCGAAGCAGGCGCCATCGCCCGTGGGAAACTCTGGCGGGAAGGACATCACGCGCTGGGCATTGCGCACGCCGCACAACTGCGGATCGTGCTTGGTTATCATTTCGCCCTCTTTATCCAATTTGAAGCCGCACTTTGGTATGGCATCCAGCATCTTTTCGTTGGTCTCAAAGCAATCCCAGTCCTGCTTGAGGCACGCCAGCTCATCCTCCTCGAAGTCCTCATCGGCTTCGGTATCGTGCAGAAATTCAGCATCTCCGCTGCGAAGAAATTTGTTCAGCGTCACCGTCACCTTGGATTGTTTATTTTGTTGCCGTTCGATGCGTCGCAGCTCCTCGTTGTACTCGTGATCAAACTGAGATTGCAACATTTGAGCTATGACCGCATCCGATTCAGCTTCATCCTCCAACATGGTCAGCATGCTCGCTGGCAATGCTTCAGCCTCCCCCTTGCCTTCGTTATTGAGTAGCATCGAATAATCTTCCCAGTCGCCTGTATCGCTGCTGGTCGTCGCCTCCTCACTGGCTTTTGCTGATGTGCTAGCTATATTTAAGTAACTCTTGGCATTTATGGAAGAGGGTGTGGGCGTCACTGTGGGCAGTGTTTGCTTTTGTTGTTTTTTTTGCTGTTGCTCCAGCTCTTTGTCGTGCAGCCGATGTGCATACTGCTCGGACATAATGTCCGCCAGGTTGATTGTCTGCACTGGCTCATTGCTGACTTTGGACCAGGGCGACGACATTCTATTCAACATAAGAAACCGAAAATTATTTACACTTAACAGGAATTTCGAAACAAACAAACTTTAATGCTGGCTGATTCGACTTTTATCCTTGGTCCCCTATTTACTGTTGTTTGATGATAGTCTGACCAAGTTGCCTGCTTGGCCGTTGTATATATTATAAGGCAAATTGACGCTTTTATTGAAATTCGACTCAATTACTTATATTTGCAACTTAAAAACTTTTCGTGTTTAGCTATGTTGTGAAATTAGAAAAGCACATTACACACTCACAAAAGCTCTGTTAAACTGTGGAGTAACTATGCTAAGTGAGGAGCACGGTAAAACCAATCAAGGTGCGCTTACACATTCTGTTGGTATCGGCGTTAGAGATGAGCAATACTCAATGTATGTATATATATGTATACATATAAATTATTTTATATAATTGTTTATAAATTTGTATAATATGCTATGAAATTACTGTGTATGGTCATATTATTATTAAATTTTATATCGCAAACTATTAGATTTTGATGTAAAAATCGGAGAGCTGACGTCACATATCAGCATGCTCACTAGCTGTGACCATTAAGTGTCAGTCACTGCTGTTAAGCATCTTATGTTAAACATCTGGCAGCACCGGGCTACAAATATCGATGTATTATCGATGTTCGAATTTCGGTACAAAGTAGAATAAGCAAAAGTATCGATGTCTTCGATACTTTTTGTTGTACTTGTACATTTTTCGCCAAAAATAATAATAAAAGTGAAAAGTTAATGTATTTTTGTTGTACAAATACAAAGAAAATGTTGTTGAATTGATTGGCAAATTCGCCATAAAAACGGCCGTAATAAAATAGAAGTGCAATACGTGGAAACGCTGGTAAGGGCTTGGAACAAAAACGCGCAGCAAACGCAGCACAAAAAAAAGAAAAAAAATCAAAATAGAATTCCGAATTTAGAATATGACAGTGACGGACCGAAAAAATTTTCGATTCGAACGCATTGCCTGTCCCCATACGTGTGTGTGTGTGACTTTGCATATGTGTGTGTGTCTTGAGGGGGGAGACTTGGGGGTCAAACTTGGGGGAACCCAACCAGAAGCAGCGAAACACAGAAACAGAGATCGGTAGAAGCAGCCGCCGCAGCAGCGACAGCGCCAACTGATTTCCGATTTCGTTTCGTTTTGCGCGCGAGGCGAGTCGCCGTTGCTGTCGCCGTCGTCGTCGTCGTCGTCGTCGTCGCCGCCGCCGCCGCCGCTGCCGCCACCGCCGTCGCTAGCCTCGTCAAATTTCTGATTTTCTGTGCTAATTTACGCTTAATTTGCGCCGCCTTTTGCTATTTGTTCTCCTCTGAGTGTGTGTGCGTTTGTGTTTTCTACTATTATTATGCCTTTTCTGCTTCACACTTGCTGCAACAGGACAGCCCGCTTTTTTCTTATTTTGCTTGTGTGCGAGCAACTACAGTCACAGCTTTTGTTATCTCGCCGCACCGTAGCTTTCTTCGCCTCGCTTGATGAAATTCTTTTTTTTATGCACGTAGACTCTCAGGGCATGAAAAAGGAAGTTAGCTTTTCATGGCATTGCTATTTCTGGATTGCAGAGCCTTACGAATTGAAATATCGTATACACGAGCTAAGTCGTTGAGCCCTTAGGAATTCATCCTACATAATATTAATTAAAAAAAAAAGAATATAGGTTATGTTGTTTTTCAAAATTATTCTAAAACTCAAGAAAAATTTATTTGAAATATACATGTATTTATATACCACATATTAGTACATAAATTATATAGAATGATCGAATTTAGTATATAGATTAAAAGCAATATATTTATTTAGTGGAGATCGGCTTCCAAAACGATTAGTCGAATTTTTGAATGGTTTTAAATGCGAACTTATTGAAAACACACGTAAATTCTATTCAAATGTAATGATTTCTTATATAGGGTTTTATATATAGTCATGCTTTACAAGAAATTTACCTGAAATTAATCATTATTCGGATGTTACTTCTCAGGTATTGCTAACATGTTGAGCATGTAAACATGTAACAGAAGAAACATTTGAATGCGAATTTTCTTGGTTGGGCTACGCTTAACGAACTAATTAATATCAAATGCTGAGTTTTTGCCTGAAAAATGCATCATTACAGAACTGGTGCCGCAGGAAATACACGCGCATACCTAAGCCGCTTATTAAACTAAACTAAAAGCAAAAAATATATATAGAAACGAAAATCACTCAGCAATAAGATATACTATAAGCCCGCCCTGCCTGCCTGCCTGACTGCCTGACTGCCTGTCTGTCTGCCTGCCTGACTGCCAGCTTGAAGAGAGAAATGTTAAAGTCTAGCACAAACCCACAGGAATTGCGTCTGCCACGGCCCGAGGAACACCATCAGCCACATCCGCACACGCAACAGGGACAGCCGACGCATCAAGTGGCCGCCGTGATAGCCAACAACATAACGTCTGCAGCAGCCGCAGCCGCCGCCGCAGCCGCAGCAGCAGCAGCAGCAGGAGGATCAGCAGTCCCCACCAGCCACAGCATGGACACGCTTAAGACAACATTTCTGCCCAATCTCAGCATGGATCCGAATGTCATCAGTCCGCACTACTGCCCCATGTGCCATCAGCAGTTCGAGCGCATCCAGCATGCCGCGGAGCATATGCAGCTCTGCCATGGCATCTCACTCAATGCCCAGAGTGCTCTCATCGAACAGCAGCAGCATCAGCAGCAGCAGCAACAGCAACAACAACAGCAGCAGCAGCAGCAGCAGCAATTGAAACCGCTAAGCTATGCGTGTCCCAACTGTGATGATAAGTTTGCCAGCGCGCTGGAGGTGGATGAGCACCATCGGCTGACGCATCAGACGGCATTTTTGGCGCGCTGCATTGTGTGTAGCGTTTATGGCGTCAATTCTGTAACGCAGAATCCCAACGAATACAAATGCTCGCACTGCGGCAACGTATTCAATGCGGCCATGCTGACGACTGGACAGCAAGCGTTTATGGATCATCAGGAGGCGCCGGTGACGCCTGACGAAATGCCAGCCATAGCGCCGCGTGATATGAGACTGACGCCCGAAGAGCAGCAACACCAGCAGCAGCAGCAACAACAACAGCAACAACAACAACAGCAGCAGCAGCAGCAGCAGCAACAACAACAGCAGCAGCAGCAAGTCCAGCACCACCAGCAGGATCACCATCACCAGCAACTCGAACAACAACAACAGCAGGAGCAACAACGACAACGTGAACTCCAGGAGCAACAGCATCAGGAAGACTTGAGCGATCCGTCAACACAAAAAGTGCCGCCCCTAACAGTGAAACTGCTTAAGAACGGCACAGGAGCAACAGTAGCACATCCGCAGGTACGATTTGCTCATAGCATTCCGTTAGCATTCCGTAGCATCATCATAATAGTATTAGCTAGTGTATTGTGTTGCCTTTTAGTCATATGACTTTAGTATATAAGTTTAAAATATCCATTTTAAATACATCTACTTCACTTGATTGCAGGTCATCATTAAGGAGGAACCACTTAGTTTGAGCGATAGCGGTGATGTAGTCAATTCAGTGCCTGTCTATGCCATACAAGCGAATCCTGGAGTACAGCCGGCGGGCACAACAGGCGCCGCCACCAGCGTATTGGTTAGCACGCAATCGGTGCCCGCGGATCTGGCGCACAAGATCCGACATAAATGTCCCGATTGCCCCAAAACATTTAAGACGCCCGGCACACTGAACATGCACCGCAAAATACACACGGGCGAAGCAGAGTAAATTCCACATTTATATGCTAATCTATAGAAAAGTCAACACAGATGCAGATGCTGCAAACAGACTCACAAGGAATCCAGAGAGAGAAAGAGCGAACTGAGCGGAGCTCTTGATCATTTGCTCTGCTCAGCTCTTGGGCTAAACTGTGGAGCACCTGTCTGCAGCATCTCGCTTGATAATATCGTTTAACCAATTTACCATTTATTTAGTATATATATATACATATATATTTTTGTTTGTTTTCCTTAAGATCAGTCCCGAGGCTGAGCGCATGGGCGCGTCCTTCAAGTGCCATGGGGCGTGGCCCGTGCGCTCCAAGCGTTGTTATTGTGTTATCTCTCTATATATTTCTCTCTCTCTCTCTGTCTGTTTAAGTGTCCAATGAAATATTACTCAAATTATGAATGTTACTAATCAAATTATTCTCATCTTTTTCTCTCTCTTGTTCTTTTTTTCTGTTTTTTTTTTACCCCGCACTGCAAATACTCAAAAATTAAAAAAAATTGTAAAAAAAACAGCGCCACGCCCAAAGAACGCCCCTACACGTGCTCCTACTGCGGCAAGTCCTTCACTCAATCGAATACACTAAAACAGCACACTCGCATACATACAGGTGAGAAACCATTTAGATGTGGCTTTTGTGGCAGGGCGTTCACTGTTAAGGATTACCTGAACAAACATTTAACGACTCACACGGGTGAGAAGCAATATATTTTCAAATCAAATCAATTCAGTCAGTCAATCAATCAATCAATCAATCAATCAATCAATCAACTCTCAAATCAACTCAGTCAATCAATCAATCAAACTCAACTCGACTCGTTCAAAGTGCAAATACACCAAAATAAAAAAAGTACAAAAATTATATAAAAACAATTTTCAATTCTAAAAAATATATATATTTAAATAAAAAGTAAACTCTTATGCAAATTGCCTTCATATCCATTTGTCATACCAATTACTCAATATGCAATATATACTCAGTACTCGATACTTTCTCGTTCTCGCTCACAAACACAAGCAGACACGCACACACACAATCACACGCACACACACAGAGACGCCGAAGAGCATGGCAAAGCGTAGGCCACACAGAGTCCACATGATCCACAAAAAAGTACAGTTGCGATCGGTTGACGCTAAACTTGTGCAGTCATAAATTGTTTGAAATATTTGATTAAACTTGGTTCGCATTTGCCGTAATCTTCGATTAGTCAGCGCACAATCAAAATTCAATGCAAAATTTTAAAAAATTTAAATAATAAATAAAAATACAAAAAACAAACGAAGCTTTAGCTACTTGCAGCAGATTTAAAAACTATGTTTGTATGAAATGTATCTAAAAGACAGATCATTAAATATTGTATTTAATTTATTTAAATAGTTTAAGCAAATGATACTCTCTAATCTATAAGGAAATTATTGGAATATTAAGTAATACATAATATATATGGATTGATAACAATATGTTCATAGATCTGTAAAGAAAAAAGCATCTAAGATGCAAATTTATACCATTTTATGCATACACAGTAATAACTTCTTCTGCAAGTATACAATGTAATAACCAAACGACAAAAAAGCTAGTAAAAGTAATACCAGAATAATTCCAGAAACAACGTATCGCCCCGCCTCATCTCATCACGTAATAATATGTCTTTTTAAAACGCATTTTAACACACAAAACCAACAACAAAAAATATATATTATGTACACATATATCAGCAACATATATATACATGCATAATTATATATATATATATTAGTTTGATGATTACGTGCAAATCAATATATATATCTATATAATATATATTATATATATTTACTCTGTACCAAAATCTATCAAACGAAACGAAAGTTTTTTGTTGGAACTGCACGGCATCAAAAAAATAAAAACCAAAACAAAGGCATAAAATTGTGCGGTGCAGCCGTTTGATAAATGCTAATCCACAGAATTGTGTATTGTTCGTAATTGCAGGTGAAAAACCATTTCATTGTGGCTACTGTGAGAAGTCCTTCAGCGTGAAGGACTATCTCACGAAACACATACGCACACACACCGGCGAAAAGCCGTACACCTGTCCGTACTGTGACAAACGATTCACGCAACGCAGCGCACTCACCGTGCACACGACAAAGCTGCATCCGCTCTAGGATAGGCCCAGCGGTGGCCGGACCATAGTTGACCCAAAGAAACCCACACAGCATGTGAATGTGGCCTAAAAACAAAAACAAAACAAAATGAAAAAAGAAACTGAAACTGAAACGAACTGGATTGCTGCAATTTAGCAATTGGAGCAAGTGGAGCAACTGTAATGAAAGACCTTTCTAAAGACGACAACAATGATGGGAGCGGATAGATGAATAGATGGATGGATGGATCACAAGCAACCAACGACTGGCAAATCTTCGAAGTGCTGCTAGACTCTAAATTAGAATTTTTACTATCAAAACAGAAAAGAGAAAAATACTTATAGTAACAAATTGTACTACAATGGCGTTTTCTATTGTTAAGTTCATTCAAAACGATATTTGATTTTCCTTTTACTTTTATATTATATATATATATGTATACATATATATATAAACTTTGTCATGTCATGTCGTATAAGTCATAATTTTGTTATTCTCTGAGATTTTAATGCATATTATTTTGTATCGTACTCGTTACTCCTTTTTTTATAGCGCACACTCACACCTGCGCAGTCAGACACACGCCTACACCTACAACTACAACTACACCTACACCTACACCTACATCTATATTATTTATACATTATAAAGTCAAGTACATATTTTTCTATAAAATATTATATTTTTTAAACTTGTTTCAAGCTAAAACTCATGTTGACGATATTTTTAACTACGCGCAAAACTTAAATTAATTTGTTTTATAAACATTTTGCACACTTAATTCGAACAAAAAGAAAAAAAAACGAAAAAAAAAACAAAAACAAACTCTCAAGTTATTTATTCTCATGCTTGAAAAATATGATAAATTTTTCAAAATTTTTACAAAAAAACTTAGATAAACACGGAATGAAAAAAATGCTTTTTGCTTCATTTGCATACGAGCAGGATCTCGTTTGTTTGGCTTTAAATTTATTTACGATATATAAATTATGGAAATTGTTTATAAACTAATTACAATTAATATTGCTTAGTCATTTAATTAATTTTGTTTGTTTTCTACCTTTTCATTTCCTTTTGTTTTTTTTTTTAAATTTTACTGATTAACTGGTTTTGTACATTTTAAATGTTAACCCAATTTGTTTGTTATAAATTATTTAAGTTCTTTCTTTAAGCGCATTTCGAAACGCAAGACAAAAAGTATTTAAGAGCAAATTTTATATAGAACGAAAATGAAATCTATGCAAAACGCAACACAGCTTTACGCGCCAAACTAGTTTAAAAAACAACAAAAACAATATATATATACATAAATCTATTAACAATTTTTGATAAACTAAGCTTTTAAAAAACAAACAACAAACAAGAAAACAAGTAAAACAGTCGTAACGTAACAAGCTTATATACATATATAAAAAAATATATAGAAATAATAATTGTTTTTGTAATATATGATAATAATTAATAGTTTTTTTTGAACGACATTTAAAGATTTTTAATCGATTAATTTACTTGCAAGTTGTATGTACTAAAAACTAATTACTAATTAAACTAAACTGTAGCAAAGGAAGAAATTAAAAACAAGCAACCAAAACCAATTGTAAATTTTTACAAAGCAGATATAGTGTTATATAAATGTATAATGTACATCTAATATTACAACTATATACTATTATTAATACACTCAAACAGTCTACCTACACACACTCACACACACACATAGGCACAGCAACAAAAACAAATGCGCAGCGCATGTAAAACCAAAATAAATTCTAAGTAATTAACTAATTATTGTAATTTTTATTTAAGTTTTAATAAACCAAGTTGACGATCAAAAGCAACCAAAAAAAAAACCAAACGCAAAGCTCGCTTCTCTCTAAACAAATTAAATTAATAAATAGAAATCAATAAAAGCAAAAGTGAGAAACGAAAAGTAAAGAAAGAAACGATACGTACTAAATGCAAATAATAACTGCTAGATCCTAACTAACTAAAACTAACTAATTAACTAACTACCAAATGATGGCGAACAAAGCAAGCAAAGTGAGTAAATAGTCTTAAAAATTGTAATTAAAATTATAACTAAATTTAAATTTAATTAATTCATAGTTTCTATGTAATTTGCAATCCAACAAAACAAAAACTGAAGAAGACAAATGAAAAAAACAAAACTCTTGAAATCATGTTCAAGCAATATTTCAATTAAATTTAAAAAATAAGGAAATGATGAATTAAAGAGATATATATATATATATAGTATACTATAAACGAATAAAGGTCCGACTTGTAGAAATATTATAAGAGCAGCGTTTGTATTAGATTTGTTTCGAATATATTTATTTTATGGGCTTTATATATAGTTGTGTACTTACGCTGAAGATAGCATCGATAGAAGCGAGGCTATAATAATGCTATATAGAATTCGAAATGATTTTTTAATAATTTTCTTTAAACAAATAAGTTAAGCTTACAGTGGCATTGCGAAATGAGGTTTTTGTTACACAGAGACTAATGGATGAGGCTTTTTGAATATATATATAAAGTCTATAAAGTCTTAGCCTGATGAATATATATATAAAGTCTATAAAGTCTTAGCCTGATGAATATATATATAAAGTCTATAAAGTCTTAGCCTGATATTTAAGACAGAGACAAATGGGTAATGGTAACAGCAATGTCTGTATATACTCTATGAAGTCCGCCAAGCTTCTTTTTACTAGTTGTATCAAGTATTTAAACACTTGAAATACATCCAAATAAATGCCAACTAGTTCTCTGTATATAGCTACGTATGTGCCTTATTGAACGGATTCCGATTATATGTATATAACTCCTAGTATATATGTTCACATATATGTCTTCTAGTGTTTGGCATCTTACTACTTTACTAGCCTAGCATATCACCCTCTAGCCAATAAAGCCTAGCATCGAATGCCCTATGCCATATGCGCAGAAGCTTATAAGATATTGTCAGAGTAGTCTTATATATCTTACATATATAGTAGTAAGCACTCGGGAAATAGAGTAACTCCACGAAGAACACTTAAGAGTTTTACGTTTGCAATTGGTTCCCCTTTCTTTATATTTATATTTTTTGTGGCAATTCTTGCCACTTTCTCACACTAAATAAAATACACATTTTAAATATTTGATTTAATCATTATTTATGTTTATTAGTATCATTTTTTTGTTGTCGCTCTTTCGGTTTTTATTTGCTTTTTCTTTTCTTTTGTATTTCATTTTTGAAAGTAATTTGCGTTACAATTTGCTTGGCTGCCCTTACTCTAAACGGCAATGCCCGCGTCTACATATATATATTGAATATATATGTATATAGACAATGCATTTCAATTTGCAATCATCTCGTGTTTTGGGGTGTTTACTGCTTCTTCTTTTATTACATTAAATTACAATGAACGAATATTATGAACACTATCACACTTGCAAAATGTTTTTGTTTTTTTTTTTTTTTTTTTTTTTTTTTTTTTTTTTTTTTTTTTTTTTCGTTTTTATTTCTTTATTTTGTTGCAGCTTATTGTCTTAGACTCTATAGCGCATTTAGCTCTAAACCTTAACTAATGGGAGGGCAGATATGCCAATTATTCTGCACTTGTAGCTACTATCTTAATTAGTTCTAATATTGTCTAGAGGATGCAATCTCTTCAGTCTTCGCCTATTGTTGTTTATAGCCAGGTTGCTTGCGAGATGGTTAGGATGCGCTGCAAGTCTGTCCGCGTATCTTGAACTGTGTCGCCCAATGAGTTCAGCAACTGTGGGAATTGCTAAATCCCTATGTAAGACTGAGTTTCTTACAAACCAGCTGGCTCCAGTCCATCTGCGTAGTGCTTTATTCTGCAGGGTCTGAATTTTGTTCCTTGTAGTCTTCGCCGAGGAGCCCCATAGAGAGATACCATATACGAAGGTTGGGACAACTATTGCCTTGTAGATGGCGGCCTTGCTGCTGTAAGACAACTTGCTTGAAGCTCTCAGCATCCAGTCGAGGGTTTTTAGCTTGCTTTTGCATTTTGAGGTTACTTGACTTATGTGCGCTTTAAAAGTCAGCCTTCTGTCAAGAGTGATACCAAGGTACTTTACTTTTGAGGCTTTGGGAATAGTGGGCCCCAATGCAACGCTTGGGCAATCTCCTCTTCTAGTGGCGAAGGTAGTATGTACAGACTTTTGTGCATTAATGGTGATACACCACCGTTTTGCCCAGCGTCCGAAAGAGTCCAGATATTTTTGTAGTGAGTCTGAAGCTTCTTGCGCAGATACGTGACGTGATAAGATGGCGGTGTCATCTGCATAGGTCGCTATGAGTACTGCATCTGTACTTCCTATATTTGGCTCGGGAGTTGGCATATCTCCTGTGAATAAAGTATAAAGTGTTGGGCCTAGAACACTACCCTGTGGTACTCCAGCCATAATTGGTCTAGTCAAGGATACTGTTTGCCCCCTTGACACTTGGAAGGTTCTTCCAATAAGGTATGAGGATAGCAACGCGAAAAATGGGGCTGGAAGGGTGGTCCTCACTTTCTGCAGCAGTCCCAGGTGCCAAACTCGATCAAACGCCTGTTTGATGTCTAAAAAGACGGCAGAGCAGTACATCTTTTCTTCAAAGGCTCCAAGGATATGGTGCACAACTCTGTGAACCTGTTCCGGTGTTCCATGCTGTCTCCTGAAGCCAAACTGATGGTTTGGAATGGCCTCCTGGCGTCCCAGATGTGTCAGTACTCGTTCCAGAAATATTCTTTCGAATATTTTGGAGAGTACTGGCAACAGGCTAATTGGTCTGTACGACTCAATTTCTCCCACGGGTTTGCCAGGCTTAGGAATCATCACAATCACGGCGCGCTTCCAGCAGGCTGGAAAGTGCCGGATGCGGAGCATGGCGTTGTACACCATAGTTATGTAGTCTATGGTGGAGTCAGGCAGTGCTCTAAGGACTCTGCCGTTTATTAGATCATATCCAGGGGATTTTTTTGCCTTCACTCTTCTGATGTGTTCAAGAACCTCTTCTTTTGTACATCCAGTTATCTGGTCTTCAGCTGGGAGGGGCGAGAGAACGATGTCTTCTGTTGCTTCGATTTCTGAGGCCTCTGCGGTAATC